ACTTTATAACTTCCTTTTTGTGTATAGGTCATGTGTATAGCAGGTAACAGATTTCTGCAGTGCAAAAAATTTTAATTTATGTCCTGGTTACTCACTATAAAACAAGTTACTTAGGTAAAGGAAAGGTCAGTTAAGCAGAATTTGCATTCATTTCTATTTTATATTTCATTAAAAGTACTAAATACGTTACCCCTGTTGACTGTTTATATGTTGGAAAGGCAGTGGTGCCTGGGCACAGTTTAGAGTCCTTTAACCAATCATTTAATAAGACAAATTGCATCATTTCTGCTTTTCTTTCCCACTCTTGTTTTGCTTGCAATAGGTTCAGTTACATTCTAAATTAGATTCTCTACACTTGTGTGTGAATTTTTTCTCCTTAAGGTATTAATTAGGTTTATCTTAAAGTGAAGTCACAACTTTAGGTTTAAATGTCAGATGCAAACCAATAAAAATGTTAACCCATTTGAGCTCCAGAAATGTAACGAAGACTTCTATGTACAGCTTTTGACACTGCTTGGTGTACGTTAATAATAAAGTGAAAGCTTATTTTCTTACCAGTATATTTTAGCACAACACACGTCCTTTCTGTTACAGGGCTTGCATACTGCTGATGTTATGGAAAGCTTTCTCATCAGCCTACCCATGAGGAAAATTAAGATTGTCTTGCTGTGTCCCAGGGAAATAGTCAAGGCTTTTAAAAAGAGAGAAAATAGAGAACAAAAGGATATGTCAGGCGTGTACGCAACTGTCTTATTGGCAGATAGCGTGACTCCTTTATGAATGTGTGACTTTCTGAAAACTGATTTTAAATGAATTATCTTTTTCTATTAGGCATTGAAGAAGAGGTTTTTTTCCATATATAAATAGAATTTTTAGCTCTACCACATCTTGTTCACTCAACTCTAAACTGAACTTTCATAGCGTTTGTTTTGTCTACTATTGAAGGCTTTCTGCAGGAAGACTCTCAGTTGTGACATTGTATGGATGCCAGCAAAATGATCAGAATTCAAGTTTCTAGTGTACCATGGCTATAATGAGCTGCTAATTGAAGGTGACAAGCTGTTTTTTCCTTCCCAGTTGGTCTGGCAAAATGTTAGATTTCATTCATTATTAACTCATTGCTTCTCAGCAGAGCACTGGATTAATTAGTTGGGAACATTAAGAAAAGAATTTTTGCCTTGTGTCCGTTTTGGAGTTGGGAGTTTAGGTTTTACAAGACTCTCCTCCATCTTCAGTTTTGCCAATTGTGTGCAGTTGTATAAATCTCTAGCACAATCAAGATCCAGCGCCGTTTGTGTCATCCTGTCAGCGGCGCCCATCATGCCCTTTGTGCCGTGGAGCTCCCTTCTCTGGCCGCTGGCAACCACGGATCTGCTTCCTGTTATTACAGTTTTACCTTTCTAGCTTTTCATTGGAAGGGTCCCATAGAGTATGTAGACTTTTATGTTTGACCCCAAGAACTTCATGATGGTTTTGAAATTCATCTGTGCTGTTAGGTGGATAGTTTCCTCTGTTATTAATTTTCTGTTGCTTGACTATATCACAATACATTTAGCCAAATTCACCTGTTGATCAACATTTAACTGTGCATAAAACAAAATTATGAATAACAGAGTACCGCAGCATGACTTAGATATGTTTACGTGAAGCTGCTAAACTACTTTTCAAAGTGACTATCTTTTTGCATTCCCAGTAGCAATGTATGAAAGTCTTGCAATCTTGAATTAACAGTCTTGTAAAATCCTAGCCGTTCTAGTCGTGGTATCCCTTAGTGGTTTTAATTTGTATTTTCCTGATAATTAGTGATATTTAACATTTTTTCAAGCCCTTAGTTACTGTATTTGTATCTTCCATGGTAAAGTATCTTTTAGAACATTATGGCCAGAGACTTCCCTGGCAATCAAATGGTTGAGACTTCACCATCCAGTGCAGGGGGTGTGGGTTCAATCCCTGGTTTGGGAGTAGGGATTCCACATGCCCTGCAGCCAAAAGACCAGGGCATAAAAACAGAAGCAGGTTTGATCCCTGGGTGGGGAAGATCCCCTGAGGGGGAAAATGGCAACACACTTCGGTATTCTTGCCTAAAAAATTCCATGGACAAGAGGAGCCTGGCAGACTATGGTCCATGGGGTCGCAAACAGTTGGTGCACACGACTGAGCACCTACACACACTGTTAACTGTAGTCACCGTGATGTACATTACATTCTCAGGACATACTGATCTTATAACTGGATGTTTGTACCTTTCTACTATCTTCACCTCTTTCATACCTCCCCACCTGACCTGGGCTCTGGCATCTACTAATCTGTTCTTTTTTATTAAAAATTTTTAAATTGGATTTAAGAAAAACTTCATTTGTTTTGTTTGGTCTTGCTTCCTGGCATGTGGGATGTAGGTATCAAATCCATACCCCCTGCATTGGAAGCTCAGAGCCTTAACCACGGGACCTCCAGGGACGCCTCTGTTCTTTTTTTAATGAGTTGAGTTTTTGTTTAAATTCACTATATAAATTAGATCATACAGTATTTTTCTTTCATTTAACCTAGCATAATGCCCTCAACCCATGTTGTTGTCAGGTGGCAGGATTTCCTCTTTTCTTATACATTTAAAGTACCCCAAACTATGTTTTATGAATTTTCATAAAGATTTAAAAATTAGGTTGTTATTGTTGAACAGGAGTGGGAAGAGTAGGTCAGTTCAGTCACTCAGTCATGTCTGACTCTTTGCGACCCCATGCATTGCAGCATGCCAGGCCCTTCTGTCCATCCCCAACTCCTGGACTTTACTCAAACTCATGTCTGTCAAGTCAGTGATGCCATCCAACCGTTTCCTCCTCTGTCATCCCCTTCTCCTCCTGCTTTCAGTCTTTCCCAGCATCAGGGTCTTTTCCAATGAGTCAGTTCTTCGCATCGGGTGGCCAAAGTATTGGAGTTCAACTTCAGCATCAGTCCTTCTGATGAACACTCAGGACTGATTTCCTTTAGGATGGACTGGTTGGATCTCCTTGCAGTCCGAGGGACTCTCAAGAGTCTTCTCCAGCATCACGGTTCAAAAGCATCAATTTTTCAGCGCTCAGCTTTCTTTATAGTCCCAACTCTCACATCCATACATGACTACTGGAAAAACCATAGCTTCGACTAGATGGACCATTATTGGCAAAGTAATGCCTCTGCTTTTTAATATGCTGTCTAGGTTGATCATAGCTTTTCTTCCAAGGAGTAAGCGTCTTTTAATTTCATGACTGTAGTCATCATCTGCAGTGATTTTGGAGCCCCCCAAAATGAAAGTCTGTCACTGTTTCCACTGTTTCCCCCATCTATTTCCCATGAAGTGATGGGACCGGACACCATGATCTTAGTTTTCTGAATGTTGAGTTTTACGCCAACTTTTTCACTCTCCTCTTTCACTTTCATCAAGAGGCTGTTTAGTTCTTCACTTTCTGCCATAAGGGTAGTGTCATCTGCGTATCTAAGGTTATTGAAGATAAGAGTAGGTAGTTTTGCCTTGTTCCTCATCTTTCAGGAAAGTGTTGATCTTTCTATCTGTGGGTTGTTTGTAGATGCCCCCATCAAGTTGAAGAAGTTCTCTTCTATTCAATAGTATTTTATTTCTAGGAAGAATCTCATCTAGTTTTGTTGCTGGATTTTACTTATTAATATTTTGTTGAGAATTCTTGATGTATATTCATGAGACATATATAAATTTATATGTAGTTTCTTGTGAAGTATTTGTTTTTTGGGGGAATCAGGTGTTACGGCCTCATAAAATAAGTTGGTGCCTGCTCTTCTACCTTTAAAAGAATTTGTGTAAGATATCTAGACTTGTTTCAAGGATTGGTAAAATTTACAAATGAAGCCATTTTAAAGAAATTCTTTGTAAGAAATTTTAAGTTATGAGTTCAGTTTCTTTGTAGATACAGGAATATTCAAATTATCTGTTTCAAGAAATTAGGTTTAGTTTCATTCATTTTCTTCTTTTGCTTTCCCAAGTTTTATTTCATTGATTTGTTGTATTAATTCCCTCATTCCACTTTGATTTAACTTGCTCTTTTCCTCCTTTATTAAGGTGGAAACATTGATCTCGTCATCTGTTTTAGTGTGTTTATAGTTTAAATCCTATTGGAATGTGTATTTATGGTGTTTTAGGATGAGATCCATCCCTGGTGGGTTCTTGATGAGGGCTGAGTCGCATCTGTCAGGAGCTGCCCGCGGCGTGTGTCCCTTCATTTCGGCCTTTGTTGCCTTGCTTTGTGCCTTTCCTGTTAATGTAGTCAAACCTTCCCTTTGGAGACTGAACTGTCTGAGGTGCTCAAATACTTGTATCTTTGACCTTACTTCATAATTGTTTATCCTTAGTTTATAATAGTAGACGTGATGTTTTATCTAGTGACCTTGGTAAACCCATGTATTAACTGATAATCCATAGTAATAACCAGTTTACATATTAATGCATATATTAATGGTTAGTCTTTTATTATCAGGTTTGTCTGTATATATATTGCAACTTTGTGTTACTAGGTTTTATACAATCAAATTCTCAGCAAATAATGGTAGCTTTATTTATTTCTTGTAGTAATTTCTTATGCATAGAGCTTCTATACTATATGGTGTACAGTGCCATAGTCTTCAAATATTCTTTTCTAATTCCTCATTTTGGGGTGAAACATTTCAGTATTTCACAATTTTGTGATTGCTAATTTTGTTGATTAGTTTTAAGGTTGGTATCCTTTATCAGATTAATGAAATATCTCTTATGAACTGGTTTTAATTCTCTCAAATGCTTTACTTCATTATGGAGATCATCTTATAATTTTCCCATTCTACAATATTAATTGAGTGATGTTTCATTATTTGTTTACATTTGACATTCCTAAGATAGATTGATTCAAATATATATATACATATAATTAGTTTGTGTGTATTATGTTAATAAGAAAAGTTACTGGCCTGCCCCCCTTTTAAAGCATAATGACTCTTGTCTTTTTTGTTTGTTTTTGTAGCACAAGTCCACCTTACTGTTGTGTGGATTTATATTCACTCCGTACTGGGGAAATGGTCAAGTCCATTCAGTTTAAAACACCTATCTATGATCTCCATTGCAACAAAAGGTAAGCAGTTTTTCATGTGTTTCTTGTGCAAGATAGCATGTAGCAATACTCTAAAGTAACTTCATTTTGGATGCATTTTAGTTTTGAAAACTTGTAACTTTTTCCTCAGTTCAGTTTAGTTCAGTCGCTCAATTGTGTCGACTCTTTGCGACCCCATGGACTGCAGGCCGCCCTGTCCATCACCAACTCCCGGAGTTTACTCAAACTCATGTCCATCGAGTCGGTGATGCCATCCAGCTATCTCATCCTCTGTCGTCCCCTTCTCCTCCTGCCCCCAATCCTTCCCAGCATCAGGGTCTTTACCAATGAGTTAACTCTTCACATGAGGTGGCCAAAGTATTGGAGTTTCAGCTTCAGCATCAGTCCTTCCAGCGAAAACCCAGGACTGAGCTCCTTTAGGATGGACAGGTTGGATCTCCTTGCAGTCCATGGGACTCTCAAGAGTCTTCTCCAACACCACAGTTCAAAAGCAATCAATTTTTCGGCGCTCAGCTTTCTTCACAGTCCAACTCTCACATCCATACATGACCACTGGAAAAACTTTTTCCTAATTATTTCTAAATCTTGGACTTTGGGAGAAATAAAAATTCTGATTAATTTTAATATATCCTTAATCAGAAATATCTCATTTACACTGAATAACAGTTGTCTGAGTTTTCTTCCTTCCTCAGTCCTTTCCTTCCTTCTTTCCTTTCTTTCTTCCTTCCTGTTTTCCCTCCCTCCCTCTCTTCTTTGGCTCCTGTGTTGGGAAATTCCACAGTCATTTTAAGTGACAGGTTGTATAAATCCATTTTATGTTTAATTCCATGACTTTGAGCCAGCAATGGAAAAACACTTAGTAAATAGCCATCAGTTTATTGGTCTCATTTGATTTATAATGAATTAAAATATGATAAAAAAATTTATTTTGAGGTGTAGTTCTCCTATCACTTTTCTTCCTCTAATCTTGTCTGTCTTATTATTAATCTTGTCTGTCATATTAAGGATTTTGTGGTTATATTTTTATATCTAAGAAGCAGATGTTTCTAGCTTATATGTTATAAGGTGTGTTTGATCTTTAAAAATTGCTACGGTAGATACTGATTTAACTTAACTTATGATTAAGGTTATAGAACTTCACATTAACATTTTCTTTAATGATTTTTTTCCCTCTGATTTTAGGATCCTTGTCGTAGTATTGCAGGAGAAAATTGCTGCCTTTGATAGTTGTACTTTCACGAAAAAATTTTTTGTCACAAGTATGTATCAACTTGATTTATTTCCCATTATATGCTTTGAGTTTATATTATTTACTTGATAGAATCAGCAGACTAATTGGAATCATAACATCAATATTTCATGCTTCTTCAGTTACTGTATTTCTCTGTTTTTGTGCATGCCTTATTTAGTAATATAATTTTATGGTATATGTGTTCCACACACAGCATGTTTTCTTCATGTAACTGTAGATGCTTTGTTGTATACTCAGTTTTTCGTTGTATATTCTCCTTGAGTAGTTGTGACTAATTTAGATCTGTGTAACTATGTTGTTAAATTATTTAATTAACATAACATACTTGTGGATGTAACTGTATTATCATTCATGAGGGAAATGTGTCAATCTTTCACTCTTTCTTTCCCCTACCTCTCACAACTCTTCCTTGATTTGCAGAAATAAGCCCAAATTCTGGATCCAAATATACATACACACACACACACACACAGACACACACAGACACACACACATGTAGGGCAGTCCATCAGGCTGGAAATTCCCAGGGCTGAGTCTGTAGGAAGTCTGGAGTTAGATTTTTTTTTAAATACAGTTTAGTGAAGCAATAGTTTCCCCTCGTTTTCATTTTAACGTCTAACACTCACCGTCAAAGCTATAGCTGTTTTTTCAGAGACTGTTATGTGTATGCTGCAGAAATACTCCTTTTGGAACAGAGCTCAGTTTTGTTATATATAGGGAATCCCGACGTCCCTGGTGGCTCAGATGGTAAAGCATCTGCCTGCAATGCAGGAGACCCGGGTTCAATCCCTGGGTCGGGAAGATCTCCTGGAGAAGGAAATGGCAACCCACTCCAGTACTCTTGCCTAGAAAATCCCTTGGATGGAGGAACCTGGTAGGCTGCAGTCCATGGGGTCGCAAAGAGTCGGACACGACTGAGCAACTTCACTTTATAGGGAATCCCAGGCATACTACTGCATCTCCTGAAATATCGAAACTCATTACACACTTATTTATCAGATGTTTATCCGTATATTAAGCCCTGGTAGTAGACATTATTCCTTTCTGATAAGAGCTCATGTTCTTGATAATACCTGTAGTCTGTATGTAATTGCATGGATTATATAATATATACTATACATAGCAATACATAATAATTCATTGTAACATATAGTTTATCATTCTGTAGCCTATGAAGAAGAATACAGTATACAACTCATCTTCTTTATCTTGTAGTCATTTCTCTCAGAGATCTACAGAGATAATAATAGAGATCATGTTCATTGAGATATTTTTTGTTTTATGACAAGGTGTAATGTACACTACCAATTTACATTGCTGTCTCCAGCACCTAGGACATTAGCTGGCACAGTGTAGACTCTCGTTAAATATTTCTTGAATGATGAATACACTGACTTACTTATCAGTCAGGTATATTGTGCTGATCAGAAATTTACTGATGTCTTAATAATTATTAAATATAGATTCCTAGAAAGTATCTTTTATTGTTTTATCTATTAATTAAAAGTTTTGGGGGAGCACAGATTTGTTACTAACATCTTCATTCACAGATGTTGTATACACATAATACAGTAAGCTTTGGATATTACATGGTCTGTTTTAGCATATTAATTGTTTGTTCCTATACAAACCTTATGCATTAATATATTACTTTATAATTATGTCACTCATTGTTAGAATTAAAACAAGTAGAGAAATAGAGGAATCATATATAAATCTTTCCATTTCTTTCAAGTTTTTGGGCTACAGAGGAATAATTTAGAACAGAATATGAGTATTTCAGCCAGATTAAGATGCCATTTTTTCCTGAGCATTTGTCTTTACATCTTATCAATACTTTTCTGTTGTTTATCATTGATTAAAGATACATGTGCTTTGGCTTCTGAAAAGTTAGATATCTCTATTGTGAGTCCATTTTAATTTTATACTTATGGATAGCTCTTGCTGCCTCAGCTAAGTATCAAATTGGGGAGAACTCTTCAATAATTATTTGTTAAGATAGTTAAGATAGTTGATTAAAATGACAATGTATGTTTTGAAATTTAAGCCTTATTTAAACAAAGTCAGTTGTCACAATGACTAGAGAGAAATTAATATATGTAAATAAGTTAATAATGGAGAGTTCAGTCAGTTCAGGTCAGTCACTTAGTCATGTCTGACTCTTTGTGATCCCATGAACTGCAGCATGCCAGGCTTCCCTGTCCATCACCAACTCCCGGAGCTTGCTCAAACTCAGGTCCATCGAGTCGGTGATGCCATCCAACCATGTTATCCTCTCTTGTCCCCTTCTCCTCCTGCCTTCAGTCTTTCCCAGCATCAGGGTATTTTCACATGAGTCAGTTCTTCGCATCAGGTGGCCAAAGGATTAGAGTTTCAGCTTTAGCATCAGTCCTTCCAATGAATATACTGGTTTCCTTTAGAATAGACTGGTTGGATCTCCTTGCAGTCCACGGAACTCTCCAGAGTCTTTTCGAGCACCACAGTTCAACAGCATTCCATATCTATGCTGTTATTTTTTTTATAGTGTACAAGTAAACAATATAGATTTTTCATTATTAGTTTAATACCCACTATAGAATTTTAAAAGAAAAAATTAAACTTTATGATAAAGAGATAGTTAAAATAATTAGATTTGTGTGTTTCATAGTTAGATTCAAAGGATAGGCTTTGTAATAATTTTGATACATTAGAATCAGTAGGCTTTTCATAGTACTCTGTTTAATTGGAGAAAATGTGCAAAATTTATCATAGTAATTTTTAAGCTTAGATGGTCTAATTGAATTTTGCATATAATCATGTACATATAGCCTGTATCTTTAATTGTATATATCTACATATGAGTGAAATTTGTTTCAACTAACATGTGTCTGTTATTTACTAATGAGTGATGGAAATGTATAAGGATCTATAAATAAGATTTAAACAAAATCCTCCCTCACTGTAGGCTGTAGTTACAGTTTTTTTTAAAAAAAGTTTTGTTTCTGCACATTAATGATATTTGCAGCTTTTCTGGAGGAGTGTTTTGCAGTCTGAGATTTTACAGTAGGAGAGTTTGTTTTTGGAATATCCTTATTTGGGTCATCTTACAGCAAATACGTAAAGCTCTTGAATCAGTTGACAGGATCAATATAGACACTGGCACATTAAAGAAATTCCATATTTTCATGGGGTTTTACTGTACTTTCTCAATTAAACCATTTATAGTAGAAATAAGAGCAAAAATACCTTTAAGCAGAAAAAGAGCATAATATGTATTCTTTTTCTTACTTGAAATTATGCAGTTCTTGCAGAAAGGTGAATTTTTAGTCACTTTTAATTTTCAGTAAGTTTGCATATTTGACAAATGTAGTCATTTAGTGATATGGCAAAATATTATATTTTATTAAATTACTGAAGTCATAGATTTACCATTTCATTTCCTTTGAATGTTATTTTTTTTCAAAGTTTTATTTCAGGAAACATATACAGTTGTTTAAAGATAGCAGTGTAATGAACCACCATGTACTTATGATCTGGTTTCAAAAGTCCTAACTTGTGGACAATCTTTTTCATTTATACCCTTCCCAAATTATTTCGAAGCATATCCCTGACATACAGTTTAATCTATCATCTATGTTTAAATGATAAGAATTTACAGAATCAGTATTTCTGTATTGCCAAATGATCAAGTAACTTGTCATCTAAACTGAAGTCTTTTGATTTGAACAAAGGCCATACTTGATTTAACTTTGGTCAACAAGTGTAAACTTGTGCATCCCTTCCAACTGAAATCCCAAGGTTTTTAACATAGATAAACCTTCTTTACCAAAATCCAGTGTCCTTGCTACATCTTTTATTTCTACAATCCATTTTTATGCTGCTTATACTACATTTACTTTGAGTCATTCATGTATCTCAGTTCTTTGGAGATGCTTTGTTGCTTTGCTTCCCTGCCTGAAATGGCCTTTTCACTAGTATCTCTCTCCCCATAGTGACTTAATCCCATGTGTCTTTCTAGCCCTAGTGTGCATATTAGTTCTTATATGAAGTATTTCTTGATCCCCTTAGTTTAAAGTAGCCTCTCCTCCTAAATCCCTGAAGATAGCAATTCCCAAATCTGTCTGCAGAACAGTAGACCTTCAACATGCTGTGTAAATCAGGATGACCTGATAAAATAGACTTAGGAAATGCTGCCTTCTGTTGGAGGATACCAGTGGTGATTAACATTTTAATCTGTTTAAATTTATTTACTACATTTCAGTATTTCCCAGATTTATCTGATTAGAGATCTCTTTTGTTACCCAGTACCCTTTGGGAATGCTCTTATAGTATTATCTGTCCCTCTGTTAAGACACTTACCTTCTGTCTTAATGTATGTGTTTTCTGTCTACTCCTTCTTTCTTTGACACCCTATAGTAATCTTCTTGAGAACAAAGTTGTGCATCTTGATTTGGTTTAAGAAAATAAGGTCCATCATGCAAGGTAAAATATATCCATTATGTTCTGGATAGCTTAAAAATATTTCTGATGCTTATTTTTGCTCCCTGTAATATGAAAACATTTATCACAACTATTTCAAGTTTCAAAGCATCAGTGGTTCTTTTCCAGGATGTTTAGTTAGCCAAAATGGTTGAGAACGTAGTGCAACTCTGTCAAAAGTAATCAGATGAGAAGGAAAATTATTCATAGAAGATCAGTATTTGTCTCTAGAGAAAGTGATACAGGTTTGATCTGGGAATTATAAATTTGGCGACTGTTTAAAGGAATAAATATATGAATGCACATATGAATGAAGTTTCTCCCTCTGGTTGGAGTAAGGACAAAACTTTTTTGAAGTATGAGCTGATTTGAAAATTTATATTTTTGTAATGATCAGCTCTTGAGGCTCTCTCCCATGTCTGGAGTATTGCTTCCCCTTTCAGGAATAGGAGCTTCTGTTTTGTAAGCCTTTGCTGCTGCTTTAGTCTCTAGGTTGTGTCCAACTCTTTTGCAACCTCCTAGCCCGCCAGGCTCCTCTGTCTGTGGGGT